AAAAACACGATACACCTAAGGATAATGTCTAAAGACTGTGCTAATTAGTTACACGATAGAATGCACTTGACTCGATCATATAAAATCCCGAAAACAGAATAACATAAAAGCCTAAAACAAATTATTACAGAATAAAATATGTAACTTTGCACATAATTTTTATATAGGTATACCTATTTCTCTTCAAATACAACACAGAACCCGTAAAATTTTGATTTTCAACCATTGACTTACAAATAAATGGACGACGGGTCTAATACAAAAACCACGAAAAAAATGTCCCAAGTCAACCTATTTAAACGTAGTGACATGTACAGGAATATGAAAAAGCTGAAACGTTGAATTTAAATTGTAATGTCATCGCAGTACTGTCTAATTTTGCTTGCTTCGCTGTCAGTCGAACAAACGAAGACTAAAGCGTGAATGACGCCCTGTATACGATTTTAACGCCCTATAAGTTCGGACACTTTTTAGCGCGGACCCGACGTCCATATAATTGTAAGTCAATGTTTTTAACTTAAGCATTTATGCAACAGTAGGAGTCCTTGTGAAAGAGTTCGTCCACGAAAGTAGGGAAGTATTGCCACCTTACCTATTTCTGCCGCCAAGCAGTTATGTTAGCATTACTACGTTCCGGTTTAGATGTGAGGGTGCTGGTGGAATTACGGGCACATGGGACTTGTCAACTTATGTCTCAGAGTGACGGGCGCAGTGGGATTGCCCCTCAGAGCTTTGCGATTTAAAGCTCTGAGAGGTACTGCAACTGTTAAGGACAGGCGTGTAGTGTACCATCAAGCGCACGAATTGTTCGTCCCGTCACTGGGTATTATAAAAAAAGCTATTATATTATTATATTGAAGTTATTAAATTCACATTTGTCACAAAACTGCCCACTGCCCCGTCAGTCGCCCTCGGGCGCGTCAACGTCGGATTTGTGTCAAATTTTCTCCGCCTGTTCTTATTTTATTCATATTAATTTTAAGCGCGCAGATTGCGGGACGCGAGATGCGTCCTCCACAACTCACCTCCTGACATCTAGGCTCGCTTTAAAATCTATATACAAGGATTAAGTCTGCAGGGAAGGAAGTCAACTCCGCATATTCTATATGCACATCCAAATGCTCTAATTTTATTAAACACACATGCTTAACAAGGCATTATGTCTTTTCTTCCAATAATTTTTATCAAGCGCCATCAATTGCTTTATTATCCTTGAAATTTTTTTTTTTTTCAGAGTCTTAGCAAATCTATGGAATGGTGGTATCTATTGCTACCGCTGGTTTTAGCAATATTTATGTTCCTACTCGTAGGCACTGTATTCGAAAAGAAGATTGAAACGTACCTAAGGAATATTGGTATTTGTTATTCTTCTTCTACTTTTTTAAGGCGTTTTCCCACGGCCTTCGTTTTAAGGCCCGCGACGCGCGTATCTTGAAAACGCGCCGTGGAAAGAAGGCCGCCCGAGCCTCAAAAGCGGCTTATTCCCAGTTGTCACCACTGGATTTATTCCCACTGGCAACAAATGGGAAAAAAATCTCAGTTGTTGCCAGTGATGATTTCTACTGGCGACAAATGGGAAAGAAAATCCCATATGTTACCGGGTGATGACAAATGGGATAAAAAGATCTGTTGTTGTCACTGGCGACAAATGGAATTTAAAATATCCCAATAGTTGCCAGTGGTAAAAACAACTAATGGAATAAAAAATCCCAATTAATGTTCGTTTATTGCCGCCATGGAATTATATATACATATTATGTATACAATAAAATTCGAGTTTAACTGTTATTTTATATTTATGGTAAGACTGCCTTTTCACCAGAGATGTGCGAGGTGTGCGAGGTAGCAAATGTGGACAGCGGCAATAAACAAACATTGTTTTGTTTTATTTTTACCACTGGCAACTACGGAAATTGCATCTGTCGCCAGTGGCAACAACACATCTTTTTATCTCATTTATCACCACCTGGTATCAAAGGCGCCCATTTCGCGAGCTCATACAAGTCGGCGCGTTTGAGATCACGGGCCGTGGGAACACACCATTAGATACAAGGGGTGTAACAAAAAGGTTTAACCACATTTCAGCTGATGCTAATGACGAGATGCTTAGCAAAAATAAAAATGATGAGCCGATTTATATTAGATGTTGGTACATATTGTAAGTGTTAGTGAAGTTAATTGGGTATATTGTGCACTATTTTTCTTTAAGTATTTAGTAATATTTGCATGAAAATAAATGGCAGATTTTTGAAGTTACAAGTATAGTTTTTACAAAGATTAATTTAATTTTAAATATATTATGAAGAAAATATGAAGAAAGAAAAGTAATGAAGAAAATTAGAACTATATTCCTTATTTTAAACCAAATTACAAAAGGGTTTATACTGAAAATTCCATTAATTACGAATTCAAAGTTTTTGTTCAAAGTGACAATAATGTGACATAAGTTAAAGTGGTAACATAAATATTGACTCCCGCCGCTTAAAGGAGAATAAACTATAGACTAAAAGCCCAAACAAGATAACTAAGTTATATAAGAGAAAGTAAAAACATAATGTTGTAGAACCACAGTGGAAAATGTTTAATGAGGATCCCGATAATTGAACGAAGACATGGTTCAAAGGACTCCAAGATATAAGGATATCCAAGCCAAAATTCTTAATATAAAATAGTATTTGCATGCACCAAGTACTCAAGAGGATTTCTAATCGCGACACAAGACAGTATTGTCGAGTGTTTAGAACCTATTGCACACCAGATGTCGCCACGAATACCAAATAGCTAACTATTTTTGTAACTAATTTGTTTTACATTGACAAACTGCAATTTATCAAAGCTATTCTAATTTCTAGTGATAACAAACACAAATTTTCTAGAATGATCCCTGTGACACTTCACAAAATTGTACATAATATAACCTTGTAACGATGTCCACTAATTTACGTAATTATAAAATTTTATTTATAAAAATTTATAAAAATAAAGTAAAAGTAACACTAAATTAGTGAGAAATAAGCAGAGAATCATTTTTTTTTATTTAATTTATCTTTACGACAACGTACAAAGGTTACTTCATTAGACTGCATTTGCTAGAGATGAGGTATATCGATAAAAGTTTTCGATGATTTAATGAATAAATATATAGTGCGCACACGAATTTAATCTATTAGGTAATTAGTAATATGATATTAATGTTTTTAATCTACATTATGAGTATCTTTATTAAAATATCAATTGAAATGGCAATCAATGCAATACAAAACACTTCATACTTCTATACAACAGGCAGGAGGGGTCCATTATGTTGTTTCTCGCGATCAATATAACACGTAAATGCGCCACAAGTTACCGTACTTAACTGTCGAGGACAATCTTTTTGTCTTTTCAGCATGGCTAAACAACAACAACAACAGCCAAATTAAACAAAAAAAAACAAAAAGTCAACAATTAAAAACAACAAAAACAAATAACTTTAACCCTTAAATACTAAATACTATCTTAAATACTAATCTTAAATACTATTGTCATTTTTGTGGGTCGTCCGCACGGACCCACAATTTTCGCCGAGTCAGTTTACAACATATAGATAAATTTGAAAAATGTTTATCATTTCTATTTTATCGTTTGATTTTTGTTGTAGCCAGAAATAATATTATTAGATCATTATGAGATTGATTTGTGAAACTTATTACAAGATCAAGTATCTCCGTGCTGATAACGTTAATCAACGTTATATTAGTGGCATATTAAGTTAAATAAAAAAAAATATTTTTAAAAGGAAATATAAACTTATATTTGTCAAAAATTTTAAAAACTAAGAATAACGGAACAGAAAATTCTTCACGAAAAAAAAAACATAAACAAAAACATATGTACTTTAGCCTTCTGAAACTTCAGTCTTCACAAAACTACAAAATCTAGGAACATTTTATTTTGATTTTTTTACAATAAAATAAATGCGCATTGGACCTCGTTCTCACCCGACCTAAATAATGCCTATTCGCTATCGCCTTGAGTTTTCAAGGCCCAGGGAGTTCGGCGAATAAAGGCCCATTTAGATGGAGAGAGTTTCTCGCACGCTTCGTGACGAAAACTCGTAGGCGATTATCGTAAGCAATAATCGCCATAAGATTATCGTATCATAATGTTTACATTCAGGCAAGAACTAAATCTCGCCTACGATTATGTCATACGAGATTCGCAAGCAATTTAATCGCCTTCTCGACTGAACACACGGAGAAATAAATATGTAGTAAGGAGATTTTTGCTTACGAGTTTTCGACTTGTCTAAACACGATCTCGTATGACATTTTTTTCAAGTTCATACGATTATCGTACAAATCGGTTCGAACCGTTTTAAGTGCGAGAATTGCCATTCGAGTTTAGTGATTACTGCGGTATTGACTATGGATATATTAAAATGACGCAAAAATCATTCAAATTTGAAACTGCTGATAATATTAAGTTCATTTGCACTGTATAGAAATATGTTTTGTATTATGTTTGTTTATAATTTTTTTTTTAATTTTATAACTACTGACACAAACAAAAACTGACAATTATGATAAATTTATAGGGCGAGTGAGTGCGTAATTGAGTGAGTGAGTGCGTGCGTGAGTGAGTGAGTGAATGAATGAGTGAGTGAATGAGTGAGTGAGTGAGTGAGTGGGAAGTGAGTAGGGGAAGGGGTGAGTGAGTGGGGAGTGAGTGAGAAATTATTCGTAATAGTTAATTCGTAAATTCGTAACAAACACGCCTCACTCACTCCCCACTCACTCCACACTCACTCGCCACTCACTCACGTGGAAGGGCGATAATCGCGAATGTTTAGACGAGGAAAGTTTTTTTATATTCTTTCGATAATCGCATCTTCGAGACGAGAAACTCTCTCCATCTAAATGGGCCTTAAGTCTGCAGGAAGTGATTTCCACTCCATAGCCGTACGCCATATAAATGTGGAAGTGTTGGAATATCAACCTATATCTCAGCTTACTTACGACTTATCCCCCGATGATGGAAAGGGGAAGGCAAAATTAACCAGACTTGTGATTGGTACAGCAATTATTTGGGGCACATATGGAACACACAACAATGTGATATTTTTCACATAAAAAAACATTGCAGGCATGGCATCGAACGCATTAGGTGTATTAAAACGGAACACATTATGTTACAAATAAAAGACAAAACCTCAATAACTTGTTATAATATTTGTGACATGAACTCAAACGACATAAGTACAGAATCAAAACAATATCAATGAGTTTTTAGTTATTACCTACAGTCAAAAACTTACTTGAGTAAAAATTACACACTCTAATACGATAATGGGTCCGTACGGAACCGTGTTTATTAAAAACAAAAAATAAAAAAATTTGCAACTTCTTGTCACTGTTTGGCAGGCACTAAAGAATTTGGCAGGTACACGGTAGGAGGGGATGGTGACTTTTTAGATGCGTTTAGTACCTATAAACAAAAATGTGAATCATCATGGGTCCGTACAGACCCGTATAGTATTTAAGGGTTAACAGAAAACACAGCAGGGAACAATAAAAAATACATGGCACATACAATGGCACACACATTGTCAGCACACGTCTCGTAATAAATTAAATTGACACGTACGTTTACATGTCAAGATCAATGTCAAAAGTATTCTTGAACGATTTCATAGATTTTAGGACGCTATAATTGGTTGTACATGCAATTATTATTGTTCGCCTATCGCTGGCGATGGTTATTTAATTATAAACAAGAACTGCATTTACATTTAATTTATTACTTCTCCGGTACCTACTCCATAGAAATATCGGATCAGATATCAAAAATAAAATAATAATTACTTAGGTATACACAATTCAAAGGAATTAATAATTTTAAAATTTTATGCAAGGCTGTAAAAGAGATTTTTATGGACAGTGACGGCTATTCTTTTATTTTGTTTAAAATTTACTCCATCTATCCATATTAGCAAGCCGTAGTTTATATATTAGTTTGTAACACACAATGCAATCATTAATACGCATATTTGTCACAGTTTAGAAAAAAATTTTATGTACACCATTGACCTACCAATAAATGGACATCGGGTTCGCGCTAAAAAGTGTCCGCACCAATAGGGCGTTAAAATCACATACAGAGTGTCAATCGTGCAACAGTCTTCGTTTGTTCGAGTGACAGCGCGGTTGTCAATAATGCAATACCATATAATAATAAATTTAAAAAAAAATTACTGCAGGAAAGTGTAAAAACAGGATTTTGTATCATATTTTCACTAAACAAATACATTCTGTTATCACAGTTCTCATTTAAAAGTATTATTTTGTACAGTTGTATAGTATTTAATTTATATATAAATGAATCGTAAATATAAATTACAAAAGCACACAAAATAATTAAATAGCTAACTGTCCTTTTTCTACACATTGCTTGCGCAAAAGATGGAAAGAGACCCATTACGTCAATTTCAAGAAGCTTATATAAACTTGTTGGTCATTTTCAATTGTTCGAACCACAAGCGATTGAAATATTTAGAAAAAAGAAACTATAGAGTCGCTTTGATTTTAATCTTATTTTTAAAATTATTTTTTATTAAACGTTAGCATAACTAACAAAATATTCTTGTACTCGTTTTACGCCTTGGGATTACCTATCAGAAGTCAGAAAATACACTTGCCCAAAATAATTTTCATAATGCCAAATGTATTTTTTTAGGAAAATTACAAAACAAAAGCTAATTTTGTCTTTGTAAAAAGCATCAAAATTACTCGAAAGCGTAACGGTTTTATTATAAATCGGTTTTCGGAATTACGGATATTCGAGTTTACGTTTAGTTGGAATATCGGTATATTTGTTATAGTACACGCTTATTCTCCCATTTGTATGCATGTATCGGCCCAACTCTTGTTATTCGTTTATATGAATTTGTACAATATTCGACATAATAATATATATAAAAATTTAATAATATTTACGATAAAGGCTACTCTATTACTCTTGTGTTTAAGTACTTTTCAGTCGAAGCTTAATATAGTGCATTTTGTTAAATTTCCAGTAGAAGCTGAATATGGAGTTTCTGGGCCCTTAAATTGTTGCAAGCAAAATTAGGCAGTACGGCAATGAAGTTACAATTTAAATTAAAGGTTTTAGTTTTTTATATTTCGTTACATGTTACTACGTTTGTATAGGTTAACTTTGGACATTTTTTTCGTAGTTTTTGTATTAGACCCGACGTCCATTTGTTGGTAAGTCAATGATTTAAACACATATCATAAACCCTCTGTGATGTTTTCAAAACTGCAATTTACGACCGGCATAAAGATAAAAAGTTTTGTTAGTTTTGTTAGATTTCTCATCTGTGAAAATGTTATTATTGGTTAGTAACATAGTAACATCAACTTCGATTTTGTTATTGCATTCAAATTTCGAATATCTCTGAAAACCAAAACAATTTGATTCTACCTCAATTCTAGTATCAGTTGAGATGAAGTTTTATTCGAAATGAAAAGTCAATACCAAACAATTTTGACAGATTTCACACGTTACTTAATATCTTAGAGAATGGAAAAAATTAAAGGAAAGGAGCTGCCCTATCTACGGAATAAACGTACCTACCTAAACCAAAATTGTACCCCACATAATATTATTCGGTTGATTTTCGCTTTTTCTAATGCCGCAAGCCCTTGACGTTGCAGCGACTCATTTTTATCAGTAGTTCATTGTTCTCACTGTCAATATTTTTGTCCATTAAATTACAATTCATGCGAACAATTCAATAAAACAACTGGCGAAACATTTATTGGTTTTGACATTTGATGAACTTCCCTTTAACAAACGTCTCTGTACTACAAAAATGGCAAAATGGATACAGTTGGCATTTAAGATGACGTTACGTGTTTAACACAAACCCTTCAGCCAACGGAATTTCAACTGTCAAATTAATGACGGTTCATATTTCACACACCGCGCACCTCGCGCCGTAATTGATTTAGGTCGCTCTTCAGATAAATGCTCCTCAAATAATAACTACACCACTTAGCCTAGTTCTGTAAAAGGTATTGGCTTTCTAAATAATTTATCTATAAGAATGTGTAATGCAGTGAAGCTAATATCATTATGCAGCCTTTTTCAATCATTTTTAGCTAAATTTGTACAGAAATCCAATGAAAATGCCAAAAATTGTTGCCGGTATTTGAGCTTGATAGCATTAAAACTACTACGAATTTAACAAAACCAATTATGTAAATAGCTTTATCATTCCTTAAATAACACAAAATATAGTAGTTATTACATAAAATAATGCATTTACTTTGATAAAATAAAGATTTCACAACGCACTGTTACCACAATGTTACTTCTCGCGAACGAAGTTTTACCACAGATTCAAACAGCTTTTTCTCCGTATTTTTTAAATGAACGAATGTTTTTTGGCTATGCAATGAACGAAACAGTTACTATACTTGTCTATTATCAAAAGTTGTTCAAACAAACGTAGACTCTATCTTTATTAAAAACCGGTTTATAATCGTCTGGGCGAGTGAACCCACCGGTGGCTTCGCGCGTCTGAGGACTTTTTCTTTCAAAATGGCGTGAACTCCCCGGTGGTTTCCTGCCGGCTTAGAGGTTAACACAAATCAGTGTAATGCTATCTCTTTTGGGTTACGACGGCAAGCAGTAGTTAACTATAGACAATTGTAAACCTCGTAACATGCATTTCAGACTTTTTTCTGTTTATTGTCCGATTGCTCTATTGCTTATCACCAACTGAAATGTGTTCAGGCTTATTGATATTATACTCTTTGTTTAGAAAGGGTTACAAATTTATTAAGTTTCAAAATATATGTTATATCGTGTTCATTACCGACAAATATTATTAGAAAAAAAGAATTACTGTCCAATGAAGCACCTTTTTTCCGGCAACTATACGTCTGGTTAATTCAGTGTTTATTTTTGATTCTTTTTTTCTTATAGTCCGACATCCTTCTGTACTAGCGCCCGAAGAAATTGACTATGTCGAAGACGGTTCCAGTACTTCTCCTTTAAAAAATTCACCCTCAATCTCCAGGTCTAGGACGGTGTTATCAAACACAGATATCAAGAAAAAGAATGAGGTGTGTCTCTTTGTCATGACAGCAATCTCTCAGATCCACGACAGACAACAAAAATGTGACGCAATGAAAAATAGCATTTTCGAACAAAACCACACACGATTTCAAATGTTACTTGTTTTATCAAATTACGTGAATCTCTTGTCCCGTTTAGAGTACAATCTATATTTTAAGACTTTCGTGGTTATTCACTAATTAGGCACAGGTTTCTTACACGCGTATGATTTCTTTTTATTCTCCCGATATTTTAAAATATAATAAATTGTAACTTTTCATTGAAAATCAAAACCGACTTCAAAGTTTGCTTGACGGCTTTTTTCGATTTTCATGGGATCCCTTCGTCAGATTTAAACTTCTTAGTGACAATGGGACTGTTACCGACTCCTTTGTACATTTTTTTTTTGGAACTGTTTTTACGCCATACATCCAAGACTGAGAGTCTTATTCCAGAACTCTACTCAATGCTCAAGTCAGGATTTGAGTATGATTTTAAGCACTGGAAATACGACCCTAATGGCAAGGACTTGAGTATGATTTGTAGTGCCTTAAATCATACTCAAGACCTGACTTGAGTTTTGGAATACGACCCTGAGAGTAATTTCTTTCTTGGATTCCATTACAAAAATTAAATGTCTTCGATAGTGCTTCTTACGAAACGATATAAAATTGGATAACATTCTTGATTTTTCAGGAGATCTGGTAAAGAAAGCGGGATGTTTTCAGGGGTTTCGAACTGTTCAAGATTTTTTTTCTGGTTGTCATGGTGACGGTGTTTTGTTGATTACATGTATTGTGTCAAGTCAAAAGTCGACTTTTAATTGCGGAAAATATTTTTTTGATTTGTGATAGCTGAAACGAACCCGGAACAGCTTCGTCGGCATTAGGGACCACCTCGAGAGTATACCCTTTCTAACAAAAAAGTATTTTCAAATTAAGTCCTCAATTTATTGAGATCTCGGTGAGTAAACAATGCCTATAACATTTGAGGATTTTCCTCGGATTCTATGGGATCCCCTCATCAGATTCTGACTTGGTGACAATGTGACCACAACGAGAGTGCACCCTTTCAAACAAAAGAAAAAAATTCAAAATCGGTCCACAATTGACGCAGAAATGGGAAAACATACATCTCCTCTTCATCATCATCCTTTTTTTTTAAGTCGGTTAAAAAAGAAGTCATACCTGGTCACAAGTTGACTCTTGTAAATTCTTCTTCTTCTTATCGTATCGTTGGCGTACACTACACTTCTGTGGCCCAGAACTCAGCCACGACGGTATTAACACGACGGTCACAAGATGAGGTGAGAAAATAGGCAGCTTTAGTGTTGAGCGGTGGGACATGCATATCATCGTGGTGACAGGATTTGTCTATCGGCATAAGGTACTCGACAACTGTTAACGGGGGTGCGCCAGACTTACAGGAAAATAATGGTATGTCGTGCAGAGAGGTCCGTTTTATGCTCTGTAATCTTGTAGGTTGAGTCAGTCCGTGACCATTTAGCTTGTAACCGTTCCGAAATATCGGGTGCATAAAATTCCTGTATATTACTTTTTGAGCAGACACGTCGATGTTTCTTAACCAACATATTCTGATTTAGTTGCAGGAAGAACAGCCGACAGTGACCCATCCCCAACTTACTACAATGACAATGACATTGTCAGTGCCACGACAGGGTTCGGCGCTGAAGGTGGCCCAACCGGAGTCAGACAGGAAGCCGTTACAAGTAGTGGCACCGACATCGGTACAGACAAATGTCTGTTGTGAGTGCGCTAAATCTATGGAGATCAGGAAAAAGTCCCGAAAAGGATGCTGCTGGTGAACAATTTAAGAAAGAAAGGAGTAGACCAATGATGCACTGTTTAATTGTATGTCTGGTGCGAGACGGTCAAGATTTATTGCATTGGTTCCCTATATTTTGATGTAAAAAGTCCGTACATTTCTTATTTTCATTCAATTTCCTTTTGTTGTATGCTCAAAAAATACTCGTAAGTTTATAATCATCAATCGAAGTTTGTTTTGGAGTTGGAGGCTTATGCCTTTTGCTGGGCATAAGCCTCCTCTTTACCGTGCTATTTGTTGTCCTATGGGAGAATTCTTCTTTCCTTCCATACGATTATTTTTAAAATGGTACAAACACATCTTACATATAATGATAAAGTACCGTTTCTGAGAACAGATCAGGGGCATTATAATTTATATGACAACTTTTTGGTTAAAACTGCGTTAACTTCTCCTTTCAATTCCGAATTGCGACCTGAGTATAATTTCTACATTCATCCATCGAGTAGTCATAGCCTTCAAGAAATTCGATTGAGGCCTTGCGTTGGAGCTCACAGAATATCTAAAATCTTAATGATAAATAATAATATACAGAATAATAGCTCCAATCACACGAATATTGAAAGCACCAATGATTCACGGGTAAAAGCTAAAATTATTACTGCTACACAAAAAAAGGCTACCTCAGAAAATAAAAAAGAACTTAAGTATCAAGGTGGCCTCAAAAGATGGAAACTTGGAAGACCCTGCAACGTTTGGCCCGAATGTACAGACGCCAATGGTTTCGCTTTCATAATCAAGAAGAATTCTTCTCAAAATTGTCCAGGAATTTCGTTACAGGAAAAGCGACAAAACACCGTACAGAGATCCATAAACACTACTTGTTTTGCACTAAAAGTCGAAACAGTTGCTCAAAACACCTCCAAGCCCATTATAGAAAAATGCCGCATTGTTGCACCAAAATCAACAAACACCAGTTGTGAACACGTAAAAAATATTAGTTGTGCAACAAAGATCTCCAAAAAAGTAACATTTGATCTTAGCAATATCAAGTCTAAGAGTGATGAGAATTTCATACCCAATAAACTAAACTTGCGAAAATGTAAACATTCAAAGCGAGCTTTAAAATGCAATTATGCGTTCGCTGTCAACAAAGCGATCTTCAGTGAATGTGGGCAACCACATGAGGGACCAGCTGGTATTCTCAGAAACCAAAACACACCTTGGGATTTAAAGGTGAACTACGGATGTTCAGACTTCAGGAAAAGATTAATGCTTGAGATGCAGAGAGACGAGATACGTAACACGTTAGGTTTCCCATTGAAGGACAGTAATGAAAATTACAACATGTATCCGTTTGTCTATGATAATCAAGCCTTTTAAACGTTACTCATTGTGTATTACATATGACGATAAACAAAGAGTTCCACCTCAATTACTGGCAGTATTGTTCTCGATTATATGCCTTAAGAATGTTACCGTTACTACAAAAAAATTCGTAATGACTAATTAGCTGGATTTTTATAAGTCGATCAGACCCTAATTGGCCGATAATTTTATTAAAAAAGCGGAAATAACATCATATTTTAATGCAACTTTTAGCTATAACATTTTGGTATACCTATTTCGTTATTTAATATATTTCACTTGACCCATTAATTTAATATCGTTTTTTTTATTCTATATATTATAACAGTCAAAATTCTTTGAATGTAAATAACATTAAGTACTTAAACATTATACTACGATAAGGCGATTCGGAACGGAAAGAGATGTCATTATATAGTTCACATAGCGTTATTTCTTTCCTATTTTTAGTAAGGAATAGACAATATTGGGAAATCATTCGTTCTTACAAGCACTTTAGCAATAATACATTACTTAGTTGACAGGTTCGTCGTGGTACGAATATGAGTAATATTATAATAAGCTTACTTTGAGCTTAGATGGAAATAAGATTGTTTTTGGAAAGGTTATGGTAGGCCCCATGTTAAACGTTCATTGTAGTCCAGCTACTGGCCGCAAGATGGCAGCATGTAACTTGCAATGAAGGTACTAAACTTTCAACGATACAGCGACTGAGTAAAATATAAATTTTATTAACAATCCAGAATTCGATTACATCTTTTTAAATTAGAAAGTATGACCAATCGTTACCAAGATTTCATTGTGTTTATCATTTTGTCCTTCGCTTCCATTGTTTTTTACTTCCGTGCGTTAAGTAGACAAACAAACATTCGAATGAAGAGCATCCTCCTTTTTGAAGTCAATTAAAAAAAGCTGCAAACGTCTCCGGGCTTCTTCCAGGATCTTAAATTAGTTCTTTAATTTCAAAAACTTTATAAAAAGCTCTTTTATATCTTTTACCTTGATTTGTGTCTCTAATGACTCCTCCAATCTCCGACGTGACCATGAAGACTGACTTCAGAATTAGATATTACCAATATGACGATAATACGCTGTCACGTCCATTAATGAAATTCATATATTCATGAGTAGACACTGGCTTCGTACTTCCATCAAATATTCAGGTGATATCAGAATATTAAACCTGTTTTTTTTACCGACTACTGAAAATTAAATTATGGTAATGCTTTCGGAATGATAATCATCGTATTTCTTTAGGAATAATCAAGTCTGCTATAATATAGATATACCACAGAACAATAAATACAGGTAGAAGTGCTTAGTGGGCATAAAACGAGTGCCAACTGTAGGGGGAAGCGAGGCAGTTTGATACAGGGGGCACATTCATACATCTCCATACCTTCAAACATAATAGAAGTTGTCATAATATTAAAACGAGACTTTGTACGTGTGATGATGCAGCTCACCAGTTAGCCGTTGTTGTTCGACAGATCGCAAAGTGTTTTCACAGCCGTTGACTAAAAAAATAAGCGACACAAATACGAGTGCCACTGCAGTTTTGTTCACTTTACAGGGTTTTATGTCTTAATACAGGGTAAACTAGAGTTTCAATAAGTATCGCGCGTGTTTGAGAGAATGTATAGAAGTTTTTTTAAACTGGCCGGTAGGGTACTTTTATACACTAATGAGTGGGGCAGTTTGGTACGTATCAAAGTGCTCGTATTAGTTATTTTGGAAGTTTACATACGTTGAATATTTTGTATTGAATCAATATTAGCACTACGGGAAAAAGAACTGTCATTTTTGTGTGCGCCACCATTTAAGTACTGTTCATGAAAGGGCTATAGTCTGACTTTTTTTAAGACGGGGTAAAAACTTGCGAGCAGCTAGTAATTGCACTCGATAAAATATTCTGTCGACTATGGACTGAATTATTTGAATCATCCTCGATCAATTACTGAGCACAAGTTCAGTTGAATTGTCAATTTTTGTAAGTTCATATATACACTGTATTTAGAACTATGTTTATACAAAGAGGAGATATATTTTAAAGATTTTCATTTTAATTCAATATAGATAATCAAATACGGCTATTCTTATTAAAATGTATACCTAATGAATAAGAATTGATCTCTATACTAGTAGGCGAATTGTCAAAATAAGAATAAAGAAGGCAACAAAGGAATTAATAATCATTAAAAAGGCGTAACATTGACAATTCAGTCATTTTTAGTAAAATTTTATCGATAGATTGTGAAAGAATATAAATCTTTCACAATCCATCGAACTATTGACAACAATCACTTAATTATTTAAAATTTTATGAAAGCTGGCAACCCTACAAATGTTATTTTAAAACTACGTGTTCAAAAAAGACCGACTTTAAATAACGTGTCAGCACTGATTTTTACCTTAAAATGTTAAAACTACAGATTATTTTTCACTACCGTTACAAAAGTTATTAACACATACATTATTTTTAATCTTCCAAAGAATATTCCAATTATACTATATATATATACAAAATATTGTAATTAATTATAAAAATGAGTTTTTAGTCAATTAAATTTATTATAAATTAAAACATACTTATTAATTATGTCTGCTTGGTATTTCTTTCATCACTGGATTCCAAACAGAAGGTGCGGATAAAGTATTTTTAGTTTGCCAGATTAACTCACGAATTTACTTGGTGGAATGAGGAATGTTGAAGAGTAAAAGAGCAATTAAACAACGCCATAAAAGCCACGCCCCTGCTCTTTAACGCCTCGACTCTGTACAAAACATTCATTAGGAGTTGAAACTTCTGGCCTAGTCTTAGCGAAAGTAAAAGAAGAGATTGGTTCACATAAATTTATTAGAAATAGGTGATGAAAGAACAGGAAAAGGGAAAGAGAGGGATAGGCTGAAACAAAAAATAATACAATGATGTAAAAAGGTACAAACATTAAAAAACACTCCCTACTCGTACTAATTAGTGTAGGTACCCCAAGAGGGCCTGTATATGTATATATTGTATCAAATACTTTAAAAACAGTTAAATTACGTGAAGTTGGGTGATGATGATTAATTAATAAGCACGTCCGTGGCTTGAGCTCCTTGTGAAAGGGTTCGTCCAGGTAAGTACTGCCACTTTACCTACTTCTGACGCCAAGTACTAATGTGACCATTACTGCGCTCCGGTTTGGAAGGGTAAGGATGCTGGTGAAGTTACAGATACCTGGGACTTGTCAACTCATACCGTCACTTGGTATTGTATAAAAAGTGAATCGTACGTGCGACAACTCATGCAGCGCCAGAACATTGCGAGATTACGCCCGTGTGGGCCACGCCCACAGACGCACACATTCGCGTAATGTGGCGCGTGACAGGTGTGTACACATACAAGACACGCTGCATGCTACGTTTGTATGAAGTTACACTACTTGTCTATTATAGTATTAGTCTCTAGATCCTGACCCACACGTAAACATAGAAATATCTCAAGTGAACGCAACGGAAATGCCTTATGCCTCGATTACTATCAGAACCGATGTCGCCAAAACTCACACATTCTTAATTTGAAAAACTCTACAAAATCTTGATATTGATTGGTTGTAGTTTCAAATTTAAAAAGAAATAACAAATTCTGGATTCTTAGGTTTTCGCGATTGTTACACATAGGAAATGAAACTATTTTTCCGGATTTAAATCGCGTATATTTGTTTTTGTTCGCGTGTATTTGTTGGTTGAGTCAACCGCGACCATGGGACCTGTAAAGGGCCCAAAACGTCGGTTTGTTTGAAAAATAGTTTCATTTCCTAAATTCTGGATTGTTAATATAATTTAAACTTTACCCTATTGGCATATCATTGAAAGTTCAAAACCATTAATGCCTTTTATTATAAGCTACGATTTTTTGACATTATATTGAATTTTCAATCAATATGCTGCCATCTAGCGGTTCAATGCTGAACGACAACGAATTGGAGTTATTCATTTAGTTCTCCAAAGAAGAAGCGACCTTGTTGCAGGTGTAAGCTTTACTTTCGATTTTTGTAAGAAAAAAATATTTCGATAAACAAAAAATTGAAAATTTATTAAAATAAGATTTCCGATGATATAAAATACCACCACGGGTAATATTTTTGGTGCAGCTATCATTTTTGCACTCCAAAACAGTACAATAAGGCATTTTTCTAGGATTTTAGAGAATTTGCACGAAAGAATGACACAACCTTAGAATAATAACGCATAGAAACCTAGTCCGCACACGCTAAGTGGGGCAAATTGAAGCGCGCCCAATGGGCCTACACGAGCGGGCGGGCCTTCAAGCTCAAGGCCAACTTGCACCGCGAACAGATCAAGAATTTTAGCTAAAAATTACGAAATGTGCGGTAAATGAGTGCAAAAATACGTCAGACAAACATAAAATAGATACCAACATCACATTCCACAAGGAAGTAACGCGTTTCAACTTGTATTTTCATATAAATATTCACTAAAACCAAAAATTAACCTACTACTAAAACTAGCCTACATGAATTTGATTTTTGCCTCACTCGTGACAGTTCGTTTGATATGAAACTATCATTCTATGTGTTATTATTCTAAGGACACAACCATACTATACAAAGCGAAAATGGCAAACTGAGCTCATATGGGTCTTTCGAGACCCATTGTTGGCACGCGTCTGACGTTAACTAACCACTTCTACTGTATTTATTGTTCTGTGGGAGTGATGATGGAACGAACCAACGTAAGAATAGTGTAAGGAAAAAAAATTCGAAAACGATTCAAAATTTTAAAAGTAAGTAGCCAGGAGCCACTAAAGAGGGTGATGAAAATGAGGGATGACGATGAAAGAGGTCAGCATCGTCAGAAACATTTCTTTTCAACTTGGACAAGATCTGCTATTCAGAGGATGCTATCATTGCAATCTAACACAATTGTAACACAATACTTAAACTCACGGTGTGAACAAGGTCTAGAATCGGGTATCAGTCAATATACACGAATGTATTAAAAAAACAAACGAATCTCTAAGACATGCATCGATCATATTTTTATACGTGAAACAATGCACCATTGTAAGATCACTAACAATATAAAAAACAGCTGTGATAAATAATTCACTGGCCGACCACTTTATAACAGGCTTGGTAATAATTGATAACGCAATGTCGGAAT